GACGTCACCTTCGGCGGTGACGCGACCCTCACTCCGTCAGTCTCGTCACCAGATAACGTGGAGCCAGGGAAGCGGTGGGCAAAAGCGAGGATTCGGGCGCCGCGAGCCGCCTCATCTCGTTAGGAAATTGGTGTTAAATTGCCCGAATCGGGCTGTTCCGCCACAGCAATGGGTACCGCACCACCGCGGCGTCGTTAAGGGTGGTACCGGCTAACGCATTGTCCTGGTTTGGCCCCCAAGTGATGTAACTGCAGGACGATTTTAGGCATTTCCACCAGATCTTTCTTTTTTAAGAAGACTTTATTCCAGCAGATGGCTATATAGAGATCACTACCGTTTCATCTGCTTTTCCATGTGGATTATTTTCCTCACAGTGTGTTGTCGCCGATGGCCAGGAGTATGATTTTCGAAGCATTTTTACCCGATTTTTGAATGCTTTTGCATCAGGAACTGAAGAAACACTGTTTTGAGAACAGAGGTTTTGGCAGCAGGTACGTACGGGGCCCGATGACCCCTGGGCTTCGTGCTGACGACTCCCCAGCGTGCCTTTTCCTTTATCCTGTTCCAAAACATCCTCCTTAGTCTCCATTGCACGAGCTAGCATATAACTAACTTTTCTTTGATGAGCAAGAGCCTCCTCTTTGTCATTTACCTGGGTATTTTTTTTAAAAGAGAAAGAAAAGAAACTATAAGTCCAGAACAAGGCAGTCTATGTAAATCGACAGTTACATTTGCTCCCCTGAGGACTCACGATGAACAGTTTAACAAAATACTAACCAAATCTATTAACATCTTCAGGATTTCATGAGGATTGTCAACCTGTTCAACTTTTCTGCAGTCCGCACCTGATGACAGCAGGCTGGATAGTTTTTGTCCCAGACTGTTCTTGTTCCCTTGTAACTTGACACGTCCTAAGGAAAACAAAAATACACGAACTGTGGAACTTAGGAGAGAAAAACTACTCAGGGATAAAATGGGCATGCATAAAACTGGATTCTGAAAAATCTCTTCTAAAAGGGCAATGCAAGCTACAGCTTCTCCCACAGTACGTAAGATGGCAGGTTATTTGCACGCAGCACCACCCTTAGCTTAAAGGCTAAATTGACCTTTCATCGTATATGTGGGCAAATTGAAAATAAAATTCTTTTTGCTGTGTGGAAAATATACTTTAACACTCTAGTTAAACAATAATTTGTGGCAATTTGTTTTTAAAGAGTAGGTAGCCTGAAAAAAAGGGGGTTTCAACAGAAGCTGTTAAAAAGATTCTAAGATTTTGAAAAAGATTAAAATACATTAAAATTGTGAAACATATGTATCAGAATATAGAGCTGGGAAACAATGGCATGGGTATAGGGGAAACAGATATTTGAGATGTATGCTGTTTTGGTATTACATACTGAAGCTGCTCAAGGATTCTAGAAGACCCACCAAATTTCTAAGCCTGGCACCTCCAGGTCAATGGCTAACGCAAATACTCGAAGTGCCATTCATAAATTCTGCTATGCTTTTGACCATGACATAAACACTTAAATATTCTCCTTACCCTTTTTTGTAAGAAGAAAAGGATAAGAATTATTCCTCTTTTACAGAGTGCTTTGTAGCTCACAGATGACAATGAAGTATGAGAAGAGTGATAAATACTGATATAAATACGCATACATAATAAAAAACTGTGTTTTATTTAGTGTTTCAGTGAAAGCTTAGTATACATTTTTTGCGTTTCTCCTCCTTCCATAATTTTTATCCAGAGATCATGTGAAAAAACCCAGCATATTAAATTGCTGATAGTACCTAAAATGGCCGGGCTAAACTTGCCAGATACTACCTTTTTTTTGCTATTTTCAAAATAAACATCTTTAATATCCAGAATGTCACCCTGGCTAACAGCTTATTTATTTTAGCATGTTTTTACTCACATAATACAGTTCATGGATGCGTAGTAAAAAAAGGCTACTTTAAAAGCCTCGACTGGTAGCTCCAATGACCTACACTAGTATTTATGTAGTCCACTGATACACAGACACCCTTACGTTACACGTGTGAAATTTCTGGTAGAAATTCTTTAGCTACATGACACACTATATAACGTATTTACAGTTTTGACATAACTTTGTTCCTTTTTTCTTTACTCTCCAGAAACCTCAGTCAGCAATTAAGCCACAACCATACATTTAATACAGTGAGAAAGTCTGCCTGTGCCACTTCTCAGCTGACTTCTTTTCTATTCAACCGTTACAGATATATAGCATGCCCAATTACCATCATCTTTCAGACGTCTCCAGTTCATAAATTTTGTTTGCTTCTTAATCTTTATCACTTCTGCAAGCCTCAGGGCTTGGTCCTTCCTCTGCATTAGCTGCTGCTCAAATGCAATTCTGAAGGCATCTGCCATTATGTAAGCTTCATCTTTACTCTTCTTCAGATTTTCAACCTGGTTTAAATTCAGAGAAATTTTAAAGTCTATTAAGCGATTTGGGAGCAACAGAAGATTTAAAATATATATTAAAAGACAGACTGAAGCCATTAACGCTGACAACTTTTAAATAAATATAACCAAAGAAGTAGTAGCAACCAAACAAAGAGGGTTTTTGCCACGTTAAGAAAAACATTTTGAAATGCATATTGAAGTCCTCACTCTTCCTTTTCTATGTGTGCACACACCACCACCCATCTACTCGGACAAGCTGCCAGCAGTGCCTATTTATCTTCGCATGTGCAGAAGAGCTCAGGGAGGGCATTAATGTCCCTTGCTAGTTGGGCCAGGAGCAAAAGGAGCACCAGAATGGTATCTCTGGCAGGGATAATAACTTTGATACAAAAGGGACATGACAGTACTTCTTTTCAAAACCTGTAAGTCCACTGGAACTTCTGCAGTGGGACCATGAGGATGGTTACTGCATTTGCAGAGTCAAATACAAATCAGTAGAAAAAGTCTAGAACTAGAGAATTTCACTAAGTTAAAAGCCTTAAGAGCTTACAAATCATGTTATTGGTTTAAGCGTGATGTAAATACACAGTTTTCAGCAAGGTCAGCTTCTTCACCTAGCTGAGTGAGTGGGCTTGCGAGTGCTGCTGTCGATGCGAGGGAGGGGTGGAACGCACTGCCAGGGAGGAAGGGAAAGGGTCAGCGGTAGTCCACGCTCACACTGTGCATATATTTGTAGAGTGCATACACTTAGAGTGGTTTTTTCCTTTTTTTAGATTAAAAAATATGGGTGGGAGGAAAAAGAATGAGAAAGAGAATTTTTTTTTTACTAGTGAAGCTGACTGATACCATAATTATTAGTTTTATATCAGCAAATTTTAGGGCATTACAAGCATTACAAAAAACCATTACATTATTTCTGAGAAGCATTCTTGTTTTAAGACCCATAAGTTTGTGTTAGCTCCAGTAGACTGTTTCTGGCTTTATTTGGTTTTGACTACAAGCTTGTTTGTATCTAAGCGAAGCAGCATTACCTCTTGCTTGAGATGGAGAAGTTGCTTTCGAGTTACAGCTGCCATTTTAGCACAGGGACAAGGTTGCCCCCCAGAATTATTGCAGGTGCAGGCTCCAAGAACTGCCAGCTTAAAATCCAAAACAAAACACCAGTTAACTATCTATCTGCATACACAATGCAATCCAAGAGATGCCACCTGACCAGCAAAAAACCATCCTGAAACTACAAAGGAAGTGTAAAGGTCAGGGGAAGCTAGCGACAAGATATTTAGGCAGCATTTGTTTTGACTCACAACCACACGCGTGACATGTATTTTTCTGCAAGATAACCGAAAGGCAAAAACTGTCAGCCTGTGTATGCGACTCCATGCAGGCTTCACTAGAATCTTTTTCACTCAATAAAGTAAAGCAGTAGGCATAGGAGTTAAGAATTTAGACATTTGGAAGAAAAAAACAAGCATGCTGGCTTGTGAAAGATAGCCTGATGCTCCTTCTGTCTACTCTTCCTCTGCAAGATAGGAATCATGACACACCACAAATTAGAAAACTGATTAACAGCCATGCAAGGGTGTATTGTCATTAGCTAAAAATGGGTCCAAAGAAACAGTAAAATAATCAGTAAGCAAAATTTATCTATACATTTTTAATATAAACATATCTTTGAACCAGCCATTTTGAAAAACATGTAAGTCATACTTACTTCAAGACCTGTAAGATCTGTAATGTCACTTTTATTCAAGGACATGTTTTCCTGAACAACCTTCTGTTGTTTCACATCTAGCATTGCAAGAAATTCCAAGCACTGCTGATTCAGGACTATGAAAGAAAACAAGGAAAGTGATTAAAAAGTCTGCTGCTCTGATTTCTTGATTTCTGGGTTTAATTACACCCAAATCGAGCAGTTCTGTTGTTTAAGCATCAGTTTGGGAACGTGATGAGACTATGTAGATTTAGAAACTCCGATCCCAACTGTCTTTCCTTCTGTGTTTTCCTAGAGGTAACGACCCACTTACAGAGTTACCATCCTGTATTATCAGTCTGCCTCAGTCCTAAGGGCTCGTCTCTTTGTACACTTACAACTAAGGCAGCTGATCTTCTAGGGTAGCACAATATTGGGAAAATAATGATGTGTATCAGCTATTTTAAAGCTTTTTGGAAACCAAAAACAAGGGAAAGGGGCTTGAGCCATCTGACCCAGCCAGATGCCTGTACAACCTGCAGTCTGAAAGCCTTCCCTATAAAGCTGACACGCTCAATACCTCAAAGTTTGTGCTATGGGAATCTTGGAGTATGTTAAAAGTGAACATCTCTGACACAGACTGTCACTGCAGCAGGAGCGCTCGGTGGTTCCCCTGGGTGCCGTTGCCTCCTTCCAGGATATGACTGGGAGCATGGACTGGTTGTTTCCCTCCACACCCAGGGTGTCGCCACACCCGTGAGATAAGATAGGTATACTTCTTTCATACCTGGTCTACTCTTTAAGCTATGCATAGCTGACTTTTCCTATAATTTCATGGCTTTTTTTTCAGTTCAAGTGACAACATGAGAAGAAAAACAAACACAACTTGTCTGTTTAAAGAGGGTTTCTGCATATCCACAAGTATCAGCTGCCAGTAACAAGAGACTTATCCTGACAGAAAGATTCCTTCATAGCTAAATCCTGCATTATTCCTGAGAAACAGTATGTGAAGAGGAATAGCTGTTGGTGGCTTACTTCCATTTTCAGCTTTAAGAGTTTTAACTTCTTCTGTTCTCAGTTTCAATGCTTCCTTAAGAGCTGCATTTTCACAATATATCCTGCAGAAGTCAGAAAAAGGCTGTATTATCTTTAAAAAAAATACTTTAAAATAGGCACTTAAATGAAAAAAAAATTAGCCTGTTGAATTGCTGTATCTGATATTTCTGCAAATTAAATTTAGGATTACTGACAAGACTTGAACTGAAAAGAGTTGAGTATTTGACAAGATCCTATCCATGCAGCATTATACAAGCAGTTTCCTCACTTGTAAATTTTTTAATGGAAAATACTGTAAAAATTTTCCATACCAATACCTGTACCAGTGATATGTAGTATGTTGTTAGATCTGAATCTGCTAGCCAGGGGCCAGCAAGCAACCTAAAGCTACTCACTCCTAACTAACTCTCTGAAAAAAGTTCTGTGTGTAGGCTTGGTGTGTCTGGCAGAGAACCACAGCTGAAAAAGCAGGCTGCGCCAGGCTGGCTTCGGTGGCGTCACTCCAGGTGGCTCGGCAGGGAGCAAAACCAAGAATCTCTACACTCACACCGAGGTTTCTCTGCCAACAGATAGCACAAGCTGTTTAAACAGGCTCACCTTGTTTCATGAAGCCACACCCTCACACAATCAATCTAAACACATCCAAGTACGTTCAAGTGAATGTTAAGAAAGAACATTTAAAAAATCATTCACGTCCTAAGTAGGTAGTGCCAGCAACTTCACAGTTTGATAAGAGGTGAGTTTAAGTACCACCTTGCCACTAGAAACTCGAAGAAATGTGTTATTATGAACCTCTGGAACACTTGCTAGAAATCTCTTACTTCCTTGAATGAATAAAATTGTTATTGGACATGTGACAACATGGCTCTGGTCTTAATTTTAGAAAGTAAACTTCCTGTATTCTTAATGCTGTTCTCAACAACAGCTGTACTTTCAAGCATTGCAACCTGAGAACATACAATATGCATTTATAATACATTTTTCCTTGAAGTTTTAAAGTATTTCCTTCTTGGAGAGGAAAGTGGCGTTTGGGAGTCCTAAATGTCAAAGCAATATAATTTTTTTTGGTGCATCTCTTCAGCTTTCAGTAAATGCAGCATAATGTATATTCATGGTTTTGTTTAAAACTAAATAGTATCCTGAATGATTTCACTTTGAATAAACATAGGAAAATACACATTCTTCTCATCCTGCTGTCTCCGATACCAGAACACCTTTTTGCAAAGCAGATTGGGCTTCTAGCTGGCAGTTTTTGAAGCCACATCTCTAGCTTTCAACAGTTAACAGTAGTGTTGTTGCTCAAAATTACCGGGCTACACTTCCTACTCTCCTAAATTGGGAAAGCCAAAGGGTTTTTCACAAGCTATCCCTTAACAAGTGTAACTAAGATAACGTGTGAACAAGTATCTTAACAAAACTTTTCTGACAAATGAATAGTTTGTAAACTTTTGGCTTATTCTTTGGTTCAAAGTTTGATAATTTGAAATAAAAATCTCTGCTGAAATAATTGTAAATCTGACGGGTGGACATCAGAGATACAATTTCTACAAGTAAGTGAGCCTGCTGGTCACATTTTTCAAGGTAGGCCTGTTATTGCATTATTAATCTAGGGCCTCTGGCATCTTCTGCTCACCTAAGCACACCCGCTGTCCGCCCAGAGTAACTCTTACTTAAAACAAAGAACCAGTTGACCAGCCTTTCTCAAAAGCATTCTATTCTACCTGTACGTATGCTCATACCTACAATGCAAGAAAATAAAGCAATGATTAACCAGCAATTACATTTCCACATGCATGCACATCCCATTATTTGCTATGCCTCATTTGTATCTAAAGTAAATAAGGATAGTCTGGCTCCAGCTGGCTAACATGAGAACGTAACAGGATGAAAATGAAAACTCAGCCTAGCAAAGCTAGCCTGTATACACAGTAAAGAATTGAGGCTTAATAATTTTAGTATTTAATTGAAAAATACAAATGTGACTAGCATGAGAATTAAATCTTCCCAAATCTGGAAGGCAATTAGTAAAACACAGAACCCTCAGAAAACCTGATGAACCCAACTTGGAACACAAGAAAGATGACACGTAGCATTCAATGCAATTAAAAAAAAAAAACCCTGAAGATACACAGTGTAAGTCAAATACCTGTCATATTTTTCTGTCCATGTGTCTTCTATGTTTTTAAATCTATCCTGATCAAATTCAATTTCCCATTGCAAAATATTTATTTCCTGTGGAAACAAAACAAACCTGCAGCAGTTATTACAAGCCTCCCATGAAAGGAAGAAGAGGAGCTGCTGGTGCTGACTCAGCACTGGCAGCAATCTAGGTGACCAATGATGATGACAATCTATGATACTGTTAAAAATACATTGGTGCCAGACACCAAAAAGTTTCTGCATAACTGATCTATGGATTCCAGACCGTGTGGCATGAATTAACGCTTGTAGTGGCTCACGACAAAAACAAACCCACGCTGTCACATTTCCTGGTCCCCTTACCATTCTGCAGAAAGGTCACATAGGAAGAAAAACAAAGCATAAAACTCAGTTTAACAAGGTAGCTCAGTGCCAACTTCCTCGTTCCTCTCCCCCTTCCCTATGAAAATTGGGCACCCGTTTCCTAGACTCACTGGGAAGTTCCGGCTCAACTAAGAAACAGTGCAACTCACTATGAATGACTGTGAATCTCACAACAAAGATCAACTGAAAGTACAGACAGAACTCCAGGAACTTCTGAGTATTATTTGTACACACTATAGTGTGAAAACATTTAGATCAAAGTAGTGCTACACTAACATTTTCCCTTTCTACTAAAAAGGAATAAGAATACTTTAAAAAAAACCCTGGAACTAATGGCAGATTTGTACTGATTTAAATAAATACTCTGACAAGCCCTTATTAATAGCAATGGTTTTCTGTATTTTTGAAGAGGTGTGAAGGAAACATGCACCCTTACCTTTTCTAAAGTTCTCTTTTCTTCCTCACTTTTTTGAAGCATTGCTTTTGTATGACTAGTAGCTTTATTAAATACTGCCTAAAAAAGAAAAAAGCATATATCTGTTAAATACTGTAATTAAGTTTACTTAATTTGGCTTTAGCCAGATTTTCAGTTTTACATCAAGAGAAGTTCCTATGTTCACATTCTTAGTTAAACAGGAGTGTGCAGAATTACAGACACTAGCAACCTGCTTGTAAGTGCCAGTGGGTTCTAATTTCAAGCGACTAAATTGCTATGTTGCGTAACAAACTTGTGTTTCAATCCAATAATCTTTTCTACTGAATAATGTAGCGTCATTTGAAATGAGATCATGTCTTCTTTAGGGCTTGTCCACAAAATCAGTTCTTAAAAAAAATTGCTTACAACATACTTATACTTTGATCCAGGTGCAACTTACTAAGAACGTCCGAGGGTAGAAACTGCAGAACTATAAACGGTTTATGCAAGTAGGCTAAAAAATGGGAACTGATTTCAACATAATGCATGAGATAGCAAATAAAATACTACAAACTGTGAAAAAAAGACTGACCTAACATACTGCATAGTACTCCTCTAAGACAGTAGCTGGAGTAGGCAACTGAAAATACCTGTGCTTTGCAGCAGAATTTCAAGCACTGGCAAAATCTGTAACTTAAAGGACCGGAAAGAAGGCCTAATTCTTTAAGTTAAATAGCTAAACCTTCAAGGTTCCTCAAACCAATCATGAGAATTTGCTACAACAGTAAAGTCTTCTTAAAGAACTACAGCAGTTCCATGCAGAAAAAGTAGTAAATCGTAGAGGCCGAGTGTGGAGACACTTGCAGACTCAGTGCTTTAAAATACAGACCTGGGAAGAACTTAAGATTTGGGGGGCAGGGGTTGGTGAGGAGTGGCAGGAAGATTTCTTCTGTTTTCTTTCCACTAAGTACCTAAATGATCTCTGAAGAACTCCTACCATGCTCTGCAGAATTCTTAGGGCTTCATCTTTTCCTTCAAGCTGTCTTTGTGTCGCTTCAAGCTCAACTTTCAAAATTTCAACTTCCTGAAGCAAAATGAAATAGGTACACTGTGTAAAAGCTGAGGTAATCCTGTTAAAACTCGACTATAATAGCAATGTAAATTTGCGCTCTTCAAAAAACAAATACAATTCTTTTCTGACTAATAGCTTGCTTGTGATGAAGAAATGTTAACAGTGCCTGTTAGCACAAAATCCTTAAAGAAGAATACTTGTAATTATTATCCCTTCTGATCTTTTCCAGTGTATTTGGAAAATAAACCACTAAATGCTACAGTTCTTCCTTGCTGAAAAAGTTGTATATACCAACACAGGTCTGGAGCTTTAAAGCAAGTAAGCAAACCAGAAGAGCAAATATATATGCATGCAAATGCACACAGCAGATGCAAAATATAGTAAGTATTACTCTCTCTATATATAATATAAATGCTACATTCCCTATATATAAGGTACTATATATTATACAAAATATCCATACTCTATAGTGCAGAGAGGTTAGAACTGTTAGATCAAAACCACTACTTGTCCAGAAGAAAACAACAAAACAGATTCCAGATACAAAACAGATACAAAACTTTTTTATAGTTCTTCCAGTCCTATTACTTCAGTGATTGATACTGAAATTGTACCTGGGAGCAGTGGCAATTTATCAGTTTTGTCTAATTGAAAATTAATAAGGTTCCTTGACATTTTGCTTGCACCTTGACAACTTGCTGTGCACTGAAGGTTCTTCATGCTAAGACAGCTTGAAAATGACCTACCACAGTTAAAGATGTTAAAGAACACCGTGCAGATGAAGTGTAGATTTTTACAGCTGAGATTACCCTGCTCTTTCTGCCTTGACTGATGCAAACACATTCAACCATGTTAAAATTAAAATCTTAGAGTTAACCACCTTTCAACAAAAATGCAGTAAAAACACAAAGACTATTCTGTTTACACTGCTGATTTGCAGGACCAAAGCTCAATAAAAAAAGAAAACTTGCTAGAAAAGGAGTACAATCCTTTTAATATTCTTTACCTCTTTAAAAAGGTACCCCCTCCCCCCCCAAAAAAAATAAATCCAGAGTATAAACTGCATCTCATACTGTGATTTCCTGGTATGAAATTTAATGAGTCTCCCAACTAGTGCTCTAATTTCATGAACCTGAGTCCATCCAAGATTCTGGACATGCCAAGATCTTCAGCTAAACTAGCACTGTGCTTTGCTTTGCTACATGAAATGGAAATGCAGATTTCAAGAGTAGCACGCTCGGCACAAGTTACTAACCTCTAAAGCTTCCTGAAGTTGTTGCTTTAGTTCTTCATTTGACACTTCAGTATTAGATTCTGTAAGATTGATAGGAAATATTAAACTATGAGATATTAAAATATTTACAAAAGAAAACATGAGAATTTGCTTTAGCCTGAAAACAGGGAACACACGAAGCTGAATTTTCATCTTTTTTTTTCTTCTGGAGCTCATACACAGATTTAGGAAATACATAAATACTAAGCTCAAACACATAGTTTCACAGTTAAGGAAGTGAAATGGGAAAAAAAGATCAGTTGTAAAGAGACCTAGAATAAGGACAATTATTTTAGAATCTCCTTTAAAAAAAAGAACAACAAAATTGCCATCTTGATTCAAAAAATAATGTCATCTTTTAGATCCTTTTTAGATTGTGACTTTTCAACCACCAAACTCAACACAACGGTAGCTAGCACTATTAGAAGCAGGGGCAATATTCAAGAGACTGTGGTGAAATACAGTGGTCAAGTATTCCACAAGATCCAGTATTCCTCTATTCCTCGATTACTACTGGTACCGTTTTCCTTAAACTGGGCAACGCAGAGATATGTTAAGATGCAGCCTCCTACTAAGTGGAAATCAGGTTCATCTGGACTTCAGTCATACTTTCATGGGTATCGCTGTGCGGAAGACCTAGGTCTAAGACAAGCATCCTACAGAGACAGACAGAAGGATGGTGAAACCAATTAGAATTATGCTGCCCTTGTAACATCTCTCTGACGCTGCTGAAACCAGTAAAGAATAATTACATGGTGTAGCTTACTGCTCTGTGTGGAGAGGAGAGTGGGGGCTTGTTCTAAAGGAGAGAAATAAGCAAACTGTATGGAAATACTTCAGTCAAAATACTAACAATGGCTAAAAATGTAAGGCAAAGCAGCTAAAGTGCAGCGAAAAGCACCGGCTTTATTTGATTTTATTCACAGCAGCATTGTCTTCACAAAAAAACCTGAATGCCAACACCGGGAGAAGGGAGATGTGCAGATTCGAAAAACAACTGCTTAACCTCAAGATGATGCAAATTCACAAATTTCAACTAAAATAGTAAACAGGATTTTGATGTTTTAGCCACAAGCTTTGGGTACACTCTCGGGGAAGACACACTTAAACCAGGAACCCAAGCAATTCCACTCAATTTCGTACATATATTTGGAGAAAAACAAATATGCTGACCCCCACCACGGGATGCTCTTTGCTAAACGTCACTGCCAAATGCAAAACTAAACACTTCAAAAATGGTCATTCTAGGCTAAGAAGGGCCGCAGCCTCATTGACTGAAAAGCAATTCTGCTGTCTGTGTTCTGGGAGGAAGATCGAGGGGCAGAGGCTGCCCTTGCTGCCTCAGTGCCACTGAGCATCTCCTCTCGGGACACGGACAGCAGACCCGCAGCCTGCGAGGTCGCGCTGGATCCCAGCTGGCGTGCAACACACAGCCAGTTCTCGGAATCCTTCAGAGCTTTCAGACTGTTTTGGCCAACAGTCTGAATTAAAACTTGGTGACATCCGGTGAAGCAGCTGAACTGCTTGGTTTCACTACCAAGACATTTTTCTCACGGTGAATAATAAACTTCCAAATTACTCTTACCACAGCTATTTTGTCGGGCTGAGCTAGTAGCAGGCTTTTTGGATGATCCATTATTGCAAACACTGTTTCGTTTTGAACTGGGAAGAGCTGCAGCATCGCTTTCTTCCACTCTCCTTGCTGACAGGAGAGAATTACAAACATTTCCAGTCCCCTTCCGAGATCTAAACGAATAGGAGTTTTGTAAATTTTCCCCTTCACGAACACCTCCGGGTCTCCTCCCAAGTCCGTTTCCCAAGTC